TTTTAAATCAATACATTTGTAATTAATTTTAAATTGCAACAAAAAGTTTGTTTAATTCCATTGAATATTTTTAAAGTTATAGCAAAAAACCATAAAACAAATAATTAGCTTTTTTTTAATAAAAAAACCATAATATCTCCAGTAATATTTACGCTAGGTTTACGAAATGTCATGCAGTTACTAAAAACAACAACTTAAGTAATTGGTGCAAGTTCCAAGCTTAGTGCTTGATTTTCTGGCATCTGGCATAAGGTATTAAAAAACTTGTTATTTTTCATTACTTATTAGAGGTTTCTAAAACCTCTGAAAGCCATAAATTTTATTTTTAATTAATTTAAAATTATATCCATTCTTTTCTTTTTCTCGAAATTTTCATTTTGGACGCGAGTACTAACACTTGATTTCATGTCAAAAGGTTCAAAAACTGAAACATTTTAATAAAACACTGATTTGATACTGTTAATATTTGTATCGAAACGCTTAAAAATGTAAACGGTTCGAAAGAAATTTAAACATTCAGTAATTTTAACAGTTATATGATAGAAAGCTATATTTATAAATTTTGAGCAAATAAAATTAAATCTTAACAAAATGTTCTGAAAAGGGTAATGAGAATTTTAAAAACAAAATCTTTTTTTTAATCGATTTTTAGGAAGAAACAAAACTAAAATGATTCAGATAGATGTATAGGAGTTGTTAAACGAAGTGATAGTGTAATGAACCATCAGGTAATTAACAAAAAATTGCTGTTTTATGCTCAACTCCCGTTTTCTTTTCTGATACAAGACCAAACTGTCTTGTGCTTCAATTCCCCATGAAAATAATAGAACTACTTTTCATGTTTCAGGATTTTTTTTCTCCAAATTTTGAATTATGAAAAAATATATCCATCTTGATTGCTGAAAATACTATAGTATAATCTTTAGGTGGTATAATCTTTAGGGGTTGCTAAAGAGATGTTTCATTCGTCAAATGTTTGGCGATGGGCATTTGTTAAAATTC